AAGTTTGCACCTGTTGGCTCTCAAATATTTGCCAATTGAATCTATAAAAATATATCGTGGATATAGCTATAGGCTCTCACTCTGGCCATTACAAAATTATGATAACTAATGAAAACTCTAGGAAAATGCAAAAAATCGATTATTTCCACTATCGATGGGATTTCAATGCAAAGTCGGTTCAATTCTCGCATGTTCTTTTAAATTTTGGTGACAAATCCGTCGAAAATTGCAGCCGTGCATTGACATTTCACACACACACAATCACATTCACACACACACATTTTCACAAAAATCCTTCCTTCTATAGATAATGGATCGAATCGACAAGTAATTATCGGATTAAAAATCTACACGCTCAAAATTTCATTACCAGATGACAAACAAATGTTGTCGTATGTTTCAAATTTGTAAAGATTTTGAGGTGAGGCGAGATAATTGTTCAACTGTTTGTTTATAAATAACAGATAGCTTGATTCATTTTTTGCCTTTCCTTTTAATCTCAGAAACAGATTTGCCTTTATTGTGTTCTTAAATTAAATGGAGGTCAACGTAAATAATAATAATAATAATAATAATAATTTTTCTTTTGAGAAGAAGAAAATTGAAGGAAGAAATTTACAGACCTTGATAGAAAAAAATCCCCTTGATATCAACAAAATTAATGAACTTATTTTCTTGGTATATAAAAATACTTCAGAATTAATCAAGGATGTTTTAATACAACATTCAGTTATGAAAAAAGATCTGAAAAAAATATTATAGGAGTCATCGTTTAATAAAAAGAAAATCGAACTTAATCTCAGTAAAATGAAGGCTATTAACACCTTAGCTATACCCTTCTGTAACATTACTTTGATTAACATTATTAAATGGAAGTTGAATGACATTAAATGATTTGATTAAAAAATGGTTGGAACTAAATTTTTACAATTTTGAAGTACTATTTGATAAAGTGTTTCAATCATTAAATATTTTTATATTTAGATTAGCATTCTTCCTTTCAAAATTCTTTTCCTGTTAATTTGATTTCAAAATTCGGTACTTCTTAAATAAAAAAATCTTTAAAAATATTCTCCTTATTCCAAATCCCTTTTAAAAACATTAAAAATTCATCAACAAACAAAATCATGAAAACTCCATCTATTTTTCAAAAAATTTTCTGACCAATTTTAATTCTGTTTTCTAAAGTTAAATTTGATTCAGTTTCTTTATAACTTCTCCAGTGGAAGTTCAACGGTTCCATGATTTTTGGCAACCAATCTTAGAGGTTAATGAATGTTAATGGTTAACATCTCGCAAAATTTTCTTAATTTCTTTCCTTCTATTACTGTGAATTTCTAATTTAAAACTATTAGAAAGTCAACTTCTGAAAAGAAATTCAAAATTGAAAGGGATTTTGTTTCAAAATGAAAAAACGTTAAACGCAAAGGTTTCAGTTTAAACAGGTTCCCCTGAACGAATGTTTATTCAAAAAAAGTCGCATCAATCAAGAATAAAATTTCAGTTTTTTTTCCACTCAAAATACTCAGAATTTTGTTAAAATATTTCGTATCTTCAATTATTTCCTTGGACCTTTATTTTTCTTTGTATCAAAGATCCGGTCATGATTTCTATGCAATAATATTAAAATATTTAATTTTTTAATCTTTTTTAAAGGTCTATATCATTTATAAAAAATGTTTTCATCTAAAAATGAATCTTGATAATCAGGTTGTTCAATTTGATTATTCAAATGTTTAAATGAAAATTTCTGTTTCTTCTTGAAGAAAATCTTCCTTTATTTTGTTCTCAGCATCTTGCCTATGGAACTTTTTTTTTCCAGCCAACTTTGATCTTCAAAAAATTAAATGCAATTATCAATCGTTATCTACTGTCTTCTTGATTCCTCTTCCTTTATTGTTCTCATGTTCTCGCCTGTGAACTCTCTTCCGGCTTCATGCTTTCCAGCCAACTTTGATCTTCAAAAAATTTAAATGCAATATCAATCGTTATCTACTGTCTTCTTGATTCCTCTTCCTTTATTGTTTTATCACTTCTCGCCTGTGGAACTTGGCTTCCTCTTCCGGCTTCATGCTTTCCAGCCAACTTTGATCTTCAAAATTTAAATGCAATGTCAATCGTTATCTACTGTCTTCTTGATTCCTCTTCCTTTATTGTTCTCACTTCTCGCCTGTGGAACTCTCTTCCGGCTTCATGCTTTCCAGCCAACTTTGATCTTCAAAAAATTTCATTTTGTCAATCGTTATCTACTGTCTTCTTGATTCCTCTTCCTTTATTGTTCTCATTCTCGCCTGTGGAACTCTCTTCCGGCTTCATGCTTTCCAGCCAACTTTGATCTTCAAAATTTAAAATGCAATGTCAATCGTTATCTACTGTCTTCTTGATTCCTCTTGCTTTATTGTTCTCACTTCTCGCCTGTGGAACTCTCTTCCGGTTTCATGCTTTCCAGCCAACATTGATCTTCAAAAATTTAAATGCAATGTCAATCGTTATCTACTGTCTTCTTGATTCCTCTTCCTTTATTGTTCTCACTTCTCGCCTGTGGAACTCTCTTCCGGTTTCATGCTTTCCAGCCAACTTTGATCTTCAAAATTTAAATGCAATGTCAATCGTTATCTACTGTCTTCTTTGATTCCTCTTCCTTTATTGTTCTCACTTCTCGCCTGTAGAACTCTCTTCCGGCTTCATGCTTTCCAGCCAACTTTGATCTTCAAAATTTAAATGCAATGTCAATCGTTATCTACTGTCTTCTTGATTCCTCTTCCTTTATTGTTCTCACTTCTCGCCTGTGGAACTCTCTTCCGGCTTCATGCTTTCCAGCCAACTTTGATCTTCAAAATTTAAATGCAATGTCAATCGTTATCTACTGTCTTCTTGATTCCTCTTCCTTTATTGTTCTCATCTTCTCGCCTGTAGAACTCTCTTCCGGCTTCATGCTTTCCAGCCAACTTTGATCTTCAAAAATTTAAATGCAATGTCAATCGTTATCTACTGTCTTCTTGATTCCTCTTCCTTTATTGTTCTCACTTCTTGCCTGTGGAACTCTCTTCCGGCTTCATGCTTTCCAGCCAACTTTGATCTTCAAAAATTTAAATGCAATGTCAATCGTTATCTACTGTCTTCTTGATTCCTCTTCCTTTATTGTTCTCACTTCTCGCCTGTGGAACTCTCTTCCGGCTTCATGCTTTCCAGCCAAATTTGATCTTCAGACATTTAACTGTAATGTCAATCGTTTTCTATGCTGTTTTTTCTTATAGTTTTTCTTTTATTGTTCTCGTTCCTTGATATTTTTTTTCTTTTTCTTATTCTTTCACATTCAGTGAAACTTTTAATGCCTTGCTTGGGTGAAATGATTAAAAAAAAAACCAGATTGATAAGGACTTTAAATTTGGGTTGGCCCGTACTTCCTAACCTACAGTATTCTTGAAAAGTTGTTCAATGTTTCCCATGTTTTCTACGTTGACCATCAAGAAGAAAATAAACCACATAGAAATAAAATCGTATTTAGAACAATATACTCTTTATACTAACCTAGTTCATGTGTTTTATAAGTGCTCGTGATTAGCCCACAAATGTCGACAGGAAGAAAACCATTGATTCCAAACCAGAATAAAAAAATCAATAATTTGATTAAACCTGTCCGTTTTAAATCGTTATCTGCTGAGATTAAAATGGATACTAGAATAGTACTTGCTAGAAGTCGAAATCCACGCCGAATAGAAAGTTCAAGACTAGCTATAATGAGAGTAAAAAAACGGTTCCTTTGTAGTGATGATAAGTTGGCCTCTTTAATGAAACAAATCATCAACTCGTTTCAAATACGGTGAAACAAATGAAATAGCATTTCATTTGTTTCTGGCCTATCTATCTATCTATCTATCTATCTATCTATCTATCTATCTATCTATCTATCTAAGTTTGTTCACATCTATCTAACTACCTAGATTGGTATCTCAGTCTGTTTCTATCTATCTATCTATCTATCTATCTATCTATCTATCTATCTATCTTCCAAGCATTGAATTCAAATTTATCTAGCTACCTAGATTGCTATCTCAATTCTGTTCGCTTTATTTAGCAATCTATCTAAGTATCTATCTATCTATCTATCTATCTATCTATCTTCTATCTTAATCTAATTTGTTATCTCAGTCTGTTCATATTTATCAATTGATGTATCTATCGCTGCTCATATATATATATATATATATATATATATATATATATATATATATTCATATATTTATTCATCTATCTATCTATCTATCTATCTATTCTATCTATCTATCTATCACTACTCATATCAATATCTGTCTGTCTCTGTTCTTCATGTAAATTATCCGGAAGCATAATTCTAGTTTGACAGACGTTCGATATGATGCAGTTACAAGCAAAGTAATTGAAAGAGCTTAAATCTAGTGATCTAGATGTGTTCAATTAGCTTGTATGGCCTCATGTCTAAAATAAAAATGACAGAAAAATACAGACTATTTACAAAATCCCTGTCTATTTTATTAAAACACGTTAGACATGTGCGTTCGACAAGATGGTCTTCAGTCTCCCCGCACGGCTCAAATCCTTCAACAATATTTCGAAACACCTTCTACAATATTTATGTTTAATCTCCGAAGCGTGAAAAAGATTCCTTAATAATTCTAATATCTTGTTAACTTCGACGCTCCTTTCTGTGCCTCTACGTGTTCAGTTTCCTTGTATACTCTCATGTCTAAAAAAAAAAGGGATTAAAATAAACACATGCTATCCGCGAAGACCAATTCTATTTTGTTGAAACACATTGAACATGATGGTTCGAGATAATGGTTTTCAGTTTCCATTCACAGCTCAAATCCTTCAGCAATTTTTCAAAATATATTCGGGAACATTTTCAGCGTTATATTATCTGTAGTTCACGTAAGTCTACGTTCAGGCAAATTGTCCAGAAACGTTATCCTCGTTTGATAGACTTTCGAAGGGAGGTTAGATCTGGTGACAAGCGGGCCATGCTCCCAAGTGCAATCGTCGATTTGAATAACGTTCATTCAAATAATCCTGAGCACTTATGGTAATGCTAATGGTAATGGTAATAATAGCCGTTTCCCTGCAAGGAAACATTTCGAATTCATTGACCAGTACTGTTTTCGGTTGAAATATATAAAATCCTTCTCTTAAAACAATTTTTAAAGAAAAAATCCTAAATCCTAATCCCAAGAAGTTCTTCTTCTGCATCTTTCTTTCTTTTTCGTTTTCTTCTTTCTTTCTTTCTTTCTTTCTTTCTTTCTTTCTTTCTTTATTCTTCTTTTTTCCTTCTTTCTTTCTTTTTCGTTTTCACTTTCTTCTTCTTCTTCATCTCTTTCGTTCTTTCTTTCTTTCTTTTTCGTTTTCGTTTCCTTCTTCTTCTTCTTCTTCTTCTTCTTCCTTTCTTTCTTCTTCTTCTTGTTTCTTTTTCGTTTTCGCTTTCTTCTTGTTTCTTTTTCGTTTTCGCTTTCGTCTTCTTCTGTTTTTTTTCTTTCTTTCTTTGTTGTTTTCATCTCCTTCTTTCCATCTTTCTTTCTTTCGCGTTTTCGCTTTCTTCTTCTTCTTCTTTCTTTTTTCCTTTCTTTTTCGTTTTTAAATGTTTCCTTCTTCTTTTTTTCTTTAAAATTCTTTTCTTCTTTCTTTTCGTTGTCCCTTTTCTTCTTCTTCTTCTTCTATATATATCCTCCTCTTTCTTTCTTTCTTTTTAAATTTTCGTTTTTAATAAAATGTGTCTTTCTTTCTTTCTTTCGTTATTTCTTCTTCTTTCTTTCTTTTCGTTTTCGCTTTTTTCTTCTTTTTCTTCTACTTCTTCTTCTTCTTTCCTTTTTTCTTTCTTTTTCGTTTTCGCTTTCTTCTTCTTCTTCTGTTTCTTTCTTTCTTTCTTCCTTTCTTTTTCGTTGTTGTTTTCGTTTCCTTCTTCTTTCTTTCTTTGTTTCTTTCTTTCTTTTTCGTTTTCGCTTTCTTTTTCTTCTTCTTCTCCTTCTTTCTTTCTTTCTAGTATATTTTTATTCAATGACTGCCTCAAAAATATTTCTTCAAAATGAAAAAAAAAAATATTAAAAATAATTCTATTTATAACTGAATAATTCTGAAAAGTTCCATAAAATCATTATCAGATCATTTAGGGTTTAAATAATTATGACTTTTTTTTTTTTATCCCGAAATTAGGGATTTTATTAATCAGACCAAGACAGGGGTTGTCCTGACTGAGTAATAAAGGGATATATTATTCCAATGTCTTCTTTCAAACTTAATCAAGTTGTGTGCATGTATACATTTGACTTTATTAACCAGACGCTTCATAGGTAGCTAAATGGTATAGCACGTCAGGCTATATGATGGATCTCTGTAGAAAATAAAATAAATGGTTTTAAAAGTTTTAAAACCATTTATTTTATTTTCAACATCATCCCTTTATAAGACACAGAGTGTGTTGAAACAAAATGGCTATTTTTTATGTAGCGATTTTATAACATACTTATGTTATAATTTTTTATAAATAATAATTATATATATATATATATATATATATATATATATATATATATATATAATATATATATATATATATATATATATATACAGTTAATAAAAGCAAATGTACTGGATTTAGTTTATTCACTTTCATTGATGCTGTCACACATCGAGAAGGTCTGTATCAACATGGTCATTTTCGTGGCAATCATCTGAAATAGGAAATTATATTATGTATGGTTGACAAATCTTTCGGACCATTCAGTATATATATATATATATATATATATATATATATATATATATATATATATATATAAAAGAGAGAGATTTTGAAAGTGCAGAAATTTGGAATATATATATATTTTTGTGTGTTGTTTTATTAATTTCGTCTGAGTATGACGAGAAACTACGGTCCGAAAGTCTTGTCACCCCTTACCAAAATGTAATGAGAACAATAGAAGAACAAGTAATACAATTAATACAAAGCAAATGCACTGAATTCAGTTTATTCACTTTCATTAACCTTGTCACACATCGAGAAGGTCTGTAGGAACGCCATCATTTTCATGGCACAAAATCATGCGGCGCCATGTCCTGTGTGATATTTTAAGAAACTGTTATTTGTTGGTTATTGCAAAGGCTCCCCGAACGGCGTCCTTCAACTGATGGGTATTCTGGTATCGTTCATGTGAAACACTCTCCGTGATAATAATACCACACAGAGCTTCGAAATAGAAAATTATATTATATAGCGGTAACAAGACTGTCCCAAACATGATATAATTTTGTGAAGGACAGAGAATCAGGTCTTCTTTTATTATATAGATTTGGGGCGCTTTTCTCAACACATTTCATTTTGTTTTTAAAAAAAATCGCTTGGCGGTCTTTACTAGAGATTTAAAGTTTCAAAGTAATTACCATTGTGAATTTCAAAATAATTTCAACCATTTACGGTGCATATTTGAGTGAGCTAACACTTCTTGTGGGGAGTTTTCTGCTCCCCACAAGAGAAATAATTCCACTGAGTATCCACCACAAACTAACATCAACAAAAAGAATAATAATGATAATTTTTACGTGTAGCAATTTATGGTTTAATTTCCAATTATCTGAAACTAGGTGAGAGAACACGTGACTGACAAGCACTTCAGACCCCCAAATGGTGACAGTCTACACATTTCGTTGGTGTTTGAGGGAAGCGTTCGCGAAAAAAAAAAAAAAAAAAGATCCGAGAAGCAGGCAACAATGACACCACTGCGTATATATATATATATATTAACCATGTTTCCGTTTTGTTCTTTTTTTTACATTCAAAAAAACAAATTGACTGCTGCTTTGTTTTTATTTTTAACTTTGTCTCTCCGTTTTCTTTGCTTATTCAGTGAATTTTAGAGCAACCCTGACCTTTTCAACTTGAACAGTCCTCAACCAAGTGACGATTACCGGCTCATTTGTCTCGTCTAAAACAAGAAACGGATTTGACGAGAGCAAGAATTTTGTCACACTACCTAGGTAATAACACACATATATACATACATCAATAATATATATATATATATATATATATATATATATATATATATATATATATATATATCAGATCAAATATGGATCGGGCATAACGTATATGAATCTAAAACATTTTACTTCTATAATTTTTTTTATTTCATTTTATGATGGAACTTTAAGAAAAGTCAACATGTTAGATTGATATACGTTTCCTATTTGTTCTATATCACACACACAAACATACACACACATAGATAGATAGATAGATAGATAGATAGATAGATAGATAGATAGATAGATTGGAACAGACTGGAGATAGATAGATAGATAGATAGATAGGAACAGATAGATATATATATATATATATATATATATATATATATATATATATAATTTTCAAATATGGATCGAAATCCGATAGAATGACAAGATAAGGAACAAATATGAAATGTTTCTCTTTTATTAAAGCTTCACTTTTTTTCTCCATACCAGATGAAGCTTCAATAAAAGTAAAACATGGTTGATTGATGTCCATTTTCTGCTGAGATACGAAACCCATTTTTCATCGCCTATAACAATACGATGCAAAAATGAACGGTTGCCATTCCCGGTTTAAAATCTCTTTCGGTCGGTGGAACGTTGTGTTTAAGCCTCAAGCCAAAACTCATGGGGAGCCCAAATTCCATCTTTTCAAAATTTCCCAATTAAACGCTAAAATGCACTATAGATAAGAGACCTTATTTTTTAATCTTTAATCAATTAACCCCAAACAATACGATAATGCCACTAAGGCGCAAGTGGCTACTGAGAGTGAATGAGAAAGTCTTTTGTAAGAAACAGAAACACCATAGTATCAATTTCAGAGTTTAGGTGGAGATGTTAGAAGTATAGAGTTGAAGTAGCATTTAAAAGGAACTGGAAACCCAATCTTAAACAAGAAACAAGGGATAAACCTCTACTCCTGTTCAAAAGACCGGGGAGGAGTGTGAACCGGACGATAGGGGAACCTACCAACTCCTAAAAAAAGATTAAAAAAAATAGTAAAAATGCCCGAGTTTAGGCGTAGACTTTAGAAGTATAAACTTAAAATGGAATTTAAAAGAAACCGGAAGTGCAAATACAAACCGGAAACAAGGGATAAACCTCTACTCCTGTTCAAAAGACTGGGACGGAGTCTGGAGTAACGTTAGGTGAACCTATTTACTAATTGTAGAATCAGTTAGATACCATTCCTATTTGCTTCTGGCTTGATTTGTTAAATCAAAATTCATAGCAGATGAAGAATATGGAAAATGTAAAAGAACCTCTTGTCCAAAATGATCTTATTCCTTCTAAGGCTTGTCCTGCAGAGTGAGCCCTGGCATCGTCATATTGTTTACCAAAAAAAGATATTTTCGACGCATGCGCCGTTTACTCGATCAAGTTACAGGCAATAAACGTCTGCAGTGATGATCCTTTCCACTTTGCCAGACATACGAAAATAAATTTGTTATTCAGAATTTATAATTTTTTTTTAAATAGACACATAATTACGAGTAACTGTAACTTAAATCTTGAAAATATGAATTTTCCTGGAATTTATTTCAATTGCTCTCGCCACATAAATTCACTAAAACCCAGATTTCTTACAACGAGAAAGTGTTAGTGCAGTTTAAGTAAATAAAATATATATTTTATACACTGTTACATTAGAACTTCTAAGTAACTACTACAAAATTGTATATTTTATTTCGATGTTTAATATACAACATCTCATCAGGTAGTTAATAATGATGGTACCAATTGATGGTATAATTTTGTAGTAATTACTTACATGTTCTAATGTAACAGTGTATAATAAATATTTATTGCTCTACTCTTGTATTGAGCCCTGTTTTAAATTAATGTTTTGAGCGTTGCAATTTTATTCTTCGTCCTCTTACATTTGCATATATATATATATGTATATATATATATATACAATTTTTTTTCTCCTGATGATGGCCATGTTGGCCGAAACTAGAGGGAGAAATCTAACTGATATAATAAAAACGAAAGAATATTAATATACAACCCAGTGAGTCTGAAGATTTTCATTTTTTAATATTTTTATTGTTCAATATATATATATATATATATATATATATATATATATATATATGTATAAGAATTTTCATTTATTAATCCGCCATGTTTTTAGTTTATTTGTTTACTCATATTTGAAATAGATGCACTGTTTTTTTTTTAATTTATTTATTAAAGACTATATTTATTTATTTACATCTTTCGGCCGGAATATTCGAGAAATCTTGTTAGAAAAATATGTGACTGCGTTCCCCAGGGAAAACTGTAATTAGATCTTCCTTGTCGACCGTATTCAATGAAAGATATATATATATATATATATATATATATATATATACACTATTATTTATATGCTGTTTTTTGAATGATACCCGCTTAAACACTTGGTTGTTGGTTGCTAGACGCGTGAAACTGTGGCTGAACCCACGAAGACTTGTTGGCAGATTTGTTTCTGCTACATCTATACGAACAGATACATATTTTTTTTTATATATATATATATATATATATATATATATATATATATATATATATATATATATATATAACGGAATCGCCTAAATTTCAGAATTACGGCAAAGTTTAACGAACATACCCCCAAAACGGTCTGTTAAAAGGACAGTTTTTTCCCTTGATAACGCGATTGCTGTATACTTCATCATCACTTCTTTTATTGTAAAACGCTATTTTGGGAATTTTAATAACACCCAGTCATATGAAACCCATTAAATAATATATATATCTTGTAACAATATGATTTCTCACACATCCTTATAAGATAAATTCCTTTTACTTTTATGTCCACTTAATTATCTCAGTGTCTTCGCATCCAGTTCATCTTTGAGTCAACTTAAGTGTCAGAGTTTTCAGGATTTCTGTCTCCAGCCGCCTTTGAATTGGCAAACATAAATTTTTGTCAATGATTTTAGATAATCATAAAAGTAGTCCTTTGAAGAAGCTGATCACCCAAAAAGCCGAAGAGTTGGTATCTTGTTCCGGGACACGAAAGGACGGATAGGGGTGGTCGGACCCCAGCCAGTATCCATATAACCAGAGAGTGGCAGGAGGTCAGTAA